TGCGTCGCTTATCGTATTTTATAATACTGAATGAGAATGAAGTAAGCAAATTAAAATTGACTCGTTTCAAAATTAAGTTAAATTGACCTTCATCAATGTTAAGAAGAATTAAAGAACGAAGTCAAGTAAATTGTCGAAGACGAGCAATAAAAACAAATGAATGAATTTGATTTTGATGTTGGTTCATCATCTGAAAGTATTAATGAAGTAGCATTTTTTAGATTAATTAATCGGCAGAGTATATGAAAATTTGATTTTGAAATTAAATTAAAATCTAAAACATATCGATTATAAGTGTTCATAACTGATCGAAATAACCGACATATCAGTCGAATTAAGAATAAAATTGTTTGTGCATTAAGATTATCGAAAATTCGATGAAGTAATTCGACTGGTAATATATCAATTGATCGAATCATATTATTTGATTTTAAAGCGATATTCTAAGTTGAAATGTTTTTAATGTGAATTACACAAATTTGTCACAAACTAAAAAAAACAGATTTATTCATACAGTTCCAGATAATTACTCGCAATAATGTGTATATCCCGAAGATCCTATCGAAGAGTTTATTGAATTTGAGTTTACAGATTCTTAAAGTAAGAAAAAATGACTAAAATAAGTTTAATGGCATCGTTTGCTTAAAATGAACGAGAAAAAATAGAAAGTATTATAATAATGAATGTATGTTAATTAACATGAATATTTGCATTTTAGTTTTGATTAGAGATGTCCAGTCAATCATTGCTGTAAAAACCGGACGAATGTTTGGGAGTTCACAATAATAACTGATTTTTTTTCGTATTATTTAGTCGCTTTGATGCTAAGATAAGCTAGTGACATCAAAACATCGATCATGTTTCCCTTTTGAGTTGCAATTAGTATTATCTGACATGTATGATTGTTCATTCGAACATCATTTATGCGACATTTTCTCTTTATGCTTAAATATATATTCGAATGATTTTAAAACTTATTGTAGCAAATAATCGAGTATTTAGTAATATTGACTATTGCTGATTAACAGAAAATTCATAAAGTTTTACTTGTTTTGTCTATGCTTTTCATGGTGCACAAGTAAGCTGCATTTTATACTCAATGGTATAAGATGATGCCACGAAATGTTCGATCGCATCATATCTGATTGTAAAGGAACACTAATTTATCCGAAAAAAATGATACTATTTCAGTTTAATTCTCATCGAACTTTAATATACATTCAGTTCTTTGAATGTACTTCTCAATACTTTAACACTCTAAACTACTCAGATGTACTTTTCATAGCTAAAGAAAACATCAGCTAAAATAATCAATTGTACGTGTATGTATTAAAGAGCAAAAGTTTGTGAAAGTGTAAGCCTTCGGAATGCTTTATTTTAATTCACATCATATGGACACTTACATATTCCGATAGAGACGAAAAAGAACCGGCTGAGCATATTTGTCTGAGTATTTTTTCGCTTTTTTTAGACAAACTTTATATTCCCAATAGAAAACAAAACAAAAGTTCTTTTATTCTGTTTCAATAGAGAAGTAATTAGTTTCAATGATAAAGAAGGAAACAAGTAACATCACTAGTTCATGTTTCAGTCAAAGGTTTACCAAAGGTCACTCACTGTTTCTTGTTTGCATTCGGTTTTTCGTTCTATGAAAAAGTGGAGCGTAAAATGAGGTTAAAGTTCATCGAAAGATCAATAAGCGAACCATCTCTTATAATCATTATTTTATCTTAATTGACGTGTTTATTTTGATTTTTCTTCAGCTAACAATGGTTAAAAATATCGAATAGTTCTTTGAATAAAATGAAATTGCCCGTAATTAAGCCATGCAAGTATTTCCAAAATCCTTTCATAATTAAAAATTCAATAAGAATTTCTAGATGAGCGCTTATTAAAATGTTTTCAACTGGAACCAAAATATTTATTATTTAAGAATAAGACATACGATAACTATTGGTTTCTACTAAACTGTATGTATCAGTTTGAAAGCTTTACATATTTCATGAAAGCCTGTGAGTTGGGTACCTACAATTATGATGGCTAGGACATTTGTTATTCTTATAGTTTTATTTCTTGAGTTATTTATCATACGAAAATGGCCTACAATCAAAACTTTTCTTCAACGAAATTCAAGTCAAGTTACATTACAGACAACAGATACTAATATTGAAAGCATACAACTCAACTGAGATTAATTATATATTCAATCTTGCATATATATTTTGAGTATTTGTTTTCATGCCTTTTAAAAGTAATTTATGATTTTATTATAAAAATGCTACAGACAGATTTTGTATGCAAGTCTAAATTTAATCAGAATGTATCAACGATTGAAAAGTTAGCTACAAAACAAGAATTAAAAAGAACACTGATGATTCTTATCTTCATCAGTGAACAAAGTCTATTTTTTGAAGGACAAATTGATCAGCAATATTATTATCATAATATGTTAAATGTAAATATATTTTATTAGCGTATATTGTTGCATATCGGTATTGTTGATGATGATATCAACTTCGTTCTGCTATTGATTAAGGATGAAAACAAAGAGTGAATCGAACTGGGATTTTCTCGATCGAGTTCAGTTCAGTTCGTTTTTGCTCTCTGTGGATGAAAAGTTAAAGGTTGTTCAGTCATTTCAATCATAACATTTACTATTTCATTCTTAATACATTTTTATTGATACATCGGACATGATTATTCATAACTATGAAGATATACAAAATAAATTAACATTAACATTATATTTACAAAATAATGGTTCTAAATGTCATTGAAGCATCGTTCTAATTTGAAGATCAGAATAATCTAGTTGTGATATATATATATATTGATTGATGTGAACCAACGATAATTCATGGTGTACGTGAACGATTAACTAATTGAAGATCATCTTCAATCTATTTATATTGAATTGATGATCGTTGAGAATAATGTTCAGGTAAGAAAATAATAATATGAATACGGTTTACATCAAAATTATACCAACAAAAGTCCATTACCATTTGATGAAGAATGAAAATGATCCCTTTACACATTTCTATAGGATAAGAAAAACTAAATTTATCATGTTGGTCTAAATCCTCCAGGACCCGGTGTCCCACTCGAATCATTATCTTCTACTGTCACATGATCATATTCATAATCACTAATTAGTACTAACCATATAAGTAAAACGAGCGGGATATTATTTGTATGTGTGTCATAAATGCATTTCAAAGAGCACCAATGCCACGCGCATAATTAATATCACCAATATGTAATAGACATGTTACATTAGTTAATTGTAAAGTAATGGTCAAATAATCAAAGGAGTTTTTACATAAATCATATCAATATGTGAATCCCTTAAACAAGCTGCACAACAATTTGATCAAAATTCGATTTCACTTAGTTTTATTTCAATTCATAATTATGTATTAAAACTTTATCAAAGATTAATTTTGAAAAATTAATGAAAACAAAAGATGGATTAATATCGTTTAATAATTTTTTATCGACAACAGAAAAACGAGAAGTTTCACTTGCATTTATTCATCAACTTATTCAAACAAACCCAACATCAATTGGAATTTTATTTAAAATAACTATTAATCGATTAATTTCATCAGCTTCATTTGCTCTACTTTATAAAATTATTTCATATCTATGAACAAAAATTTCTATCACATCATGCTTTACTAGCTACCTCCTATTAAATCATTGGATTAGTCTGTAATAAAATGCTTGAGATTGAAGAATATATTTTTCCATTAAATCACGGGAAAGAATATTCAAAAGCTCTTGTGTTTTATGAAAAAACGCTTCAAATCTGCAAAAAAATCTTTACAATAAATCATCCTTTATTTGCTACTGCTTATAATAATATTGGTTTAATATATCAGGAAATGGAAGAATATTCTAAAGCATTATCATATTATGAGCAAATTGTCGAATTTGGACAACGGTCGTTATACGCAAGACACTCTCATCTTCAGTTGTATAAAGACAATCACGAGTTTCTAAAAAGAAAGTTGAACATAGAATAAATATTTCTGTATTCATATGTATTTAAATTGGTTTAATATTATTTTTATTGACAGTTATGTATATAAAATAAAATAAAATTCTAATTAGAAAGAATTAAAATTAATTTCAAAGACCATCTTCAGAAATAAAATACTATCTTCTCATTCTTTCCTTTGTTCTAAATGTCTTTCAAGCGACTACAGTCAAGCAGTTCTCTTCATGTAGCATACTATTATTTGTTAGCTCTGACGAGCAAAGTTCGGTCACTGATAAATTGCTTTTGAGTCACGATTGCGTGCATTATGTAGATTCAAATGAGCTAATGCAGCTATGGTGGCAGCGTGTCTTTTACATTGCTCATATGTAACGGTTGATTCTATGTTCCTGATTCATTCAAGTGGAAACTCGACAATTAGTTTTCTTGGTTTTCCAAGGGGGGGGGGGGTATGTTACAATTCTTTTCAGAAGAATATTTTAGAATTTCTCCAGCTGCTGATCATGATTGCTGTTTGTCGAAGCGCTTCTATGATGACCAAAATCGTAGAACTGCTAATGTTGATCAAGTTCATCTCTATACATGCATGAGAGTTCTTTTAATTTATGAAATATATTAATGATTATAGGTTTAGATATGGATTTTAGCATCAAGTTGAATATTCAATCAATAGTTTTTTTTTTGTAAGATTCCGGTAAAGATTTATTCGGTTAGAGTTTCAATATCTGAATTCAGTAGTGCGAAAAGGAAAAATATTGTTTAGAACGCTAACATTGATTTGAAATCATCTCCAATTGTATATCTATTGTTACTACACAGCTTTTATATCAATCTATTGTTGTGATATTTAATCATTTGTATCATTCTTGAAGTGTTTTAATCAAAATCTCGATAATTAATTGGACAACTACAGAAGTTTATTTATCTTTTAACTATGAAAAAAAAAATGCTTTTTTTTAATACAATATAATCATACATAATAAAAAAAAACCTAAATTTATGATGTTTCTTGCATCGATCGTGATTTTTGATTTTCCCATTCTTCATCAAGCATCATTAACCAAGGAGTAACATGTGTTGGCAATGATTGTTCAATTCCTTGAAATGTTTTACAATCTGGATCATGACATTTTTGTCGATATGTTCCTTTACGCATATCAACTACAAAACTAAATGAAAAAAAGAAAGAAAAATTTTATTCTATAATTTCATAACAGAATTCTTACTAAATATTATTTTGTTTATGATGACGCTTAATTTTTTCACAATATTTATAATCTCCAACATACATAAAACTAATTTCCCATCGAAAATCATTTTGAATTTCTTTTGCTTTATATAAACGACTTATACGAATACCATTACCATCATCTTTTTTATCACGTGCTAGATTTGTCATAAAATTAATTAATTCAGGATAATCTAATGACATTTTCCGTATATCTTCTGTCATATATGATGATTGATTTGAACGTTGTATACGTGAATTTATTGTTTGTACGGAACTTAAATTTTCATCATCAACATGAATAAAACGTCGTATAGGTCTAGATAAATATTTTTTTTTAAATTAAAAATAACGAGTGACTCATAATAAATGATCGCATTGTGCATGTCACAGTTAAATCTTTAAATACGTTTATTTAAAAAAAAAAGCCAGAATATATGACATTTTAATTGCATGCCTTTTATTTTCAAAATCAGCGAAATTCTGTGCAAACAATTTTCGATGCTACGAACGATATCATTTATTTGGTAACAACATCCCTCAAGACCATTTGATGACCATCCATGAATGTCTATAAAGTGCATGAAATTTTCTTCATCCCCATGCCAATGATTCCCAATGTGTATGTAACGTAATGTCACCTTATTGACACATGAAATTGTCATCTAGATGCTATTGGTCTCCATATTATGCTTATGGAAAAACAACTTCAATATAATTTTCATAGGATAATATTTTGCCAGATTTATGTATAACAGAAGATGTAAGACTATTTTCAGATGTATATAATCATATTATAAGTCTTTTTGGATACTTGACCTTTTGGTTTATATCTCATTGTTCGTCTGCTTGTTGTCAAATTGCAACATAAACATGTTCTAATGAGAAATATCTTTCGTCAAGAAATAGAATTGTCTTCTACTGATGACATAAAAAAAACAAATCAATTGGTTATCAAAAAATAATTATGTGCACAGCATCGAAAATTGTTTACACAGATCTTATCATACATTCTGTTATTTTTTTAATAAAACGTGTGAAGAAATTAAAATATAGAATGAAAAGTATGATCATTTATTATGAATCACCCGTTAATTACTTATTAAAATAAACAAGTGAAGCCATAAATGTTTGTCGTTCTGCTTCATTTGGTTCAGACGATGATGGGCGTGCACGTCGTAAAATTGGTTTCCATTGATTTTCTGGTGCAACAGTAAAACATTCTTGTTTATCAAATTTACTTGATCGAAGTAATCGAAATGCTCGATTTTTTGTATAAACACCTAAAATAGATTCAAACAGTAATTTAAAAAAAAAAGTGAGAACATTTCATTACAGATGAATTCAAATTTACTGACCCATATCACAAAACCATGTTAACCCGTTACCATCACTTTTATTAACAATAAGTTCTATCATATCTTTAAATTTTAATTGTGTATAATCATCAATACAATCACAGTGTTCAAATCGTAATAAATGAGATTCAAGACTTGTAAGAAGATTTTTTGCAAAAACTGATGAATCAGAATTTGATTGAATTTGTCGAGTTTGAGATATTGAAGAATTCATTACAGCTGGACATTGATGATTTATTAAACAACCATGAATATCTTCTAAGATAAGATTAACAAATTTACCAACAGCTATATTATCAAGAAATGGATCTTTTGTTTGAAATATTAAATGACGACTAAATTTTTTTGTTGATCTAAAAATATAATAAATAAATCAATTTTTAAAATAATATTTTATTTTTACTTACGTTGAATCGAGAATAAGAACATCTTTGATTGAATAATCCAAATCATCACTTCGTTTTCGCATAAAATTGAGAACAAACTGGAGTAAAGTTATATGTCAAGTTCTGTTAACTTATATATCAAGAATATCCAAACTGCATAAAATTTCCAACTAACCAAAAGATTTTCAATAGGTCTTAAGGTGAAAGGCAAATCCCTGGAATTCATTAAGATATTTTTATGTTCACATATAATAAGTCATTTTAGTGAATATAAATTTGCAATCAAATTATTGAAAAAAGATAAAGCATAGAATTGTTCATACAAGCAGAAGCGAGTTATGACTAGTAACAAGCTCCTGCTAAATTCTCTGTCTATGATTACAAGAAATATTTCTACTCATATAAACTCATAATAGATTTTTATATGTGACTTTTGAGAGTGAAAAATTAATCGATTTTTGAATCTTGCACAATATGTACAGTATCTTCTGCCGAAATTAGCTAATTATTCTAATCTCATATGAAAAATGTTCTCATTATAAGCTATTTTCAAGCTCCTTGTATGCTCTTAAGCACATGTAAAGCTTTGATAAACATGGATATCCTGTACATAAAAAGGATGCTAAGCTGTTTGACTGATTAAAATACATTGGTTAATATAACTTAAATTACATATCTATAAGTGATACAATGTACTTTTCAGTTGTGTAAGCATATCTAACGGGTGAAACTTGGTAGCTAAAGTATTTTTCTGATAGCCTGAGTAATAGTTCTCAAACGGAGAAAAAATAGTTTTTTTGTAGTCAACTCAATGTATTCTGCTATTTGTACGGATCACAAAAAAAGTTTCTTATAAGTCAAAAAACTTCAAGTTAATCTAAGCGAACTATTGTCCCTATATGTTCACATGAGTAAGTGAAACGTTACAAAAACTATTTAGTATATAATTAATATGAATCGGTAAGTTATACCTGAATAAAATTTGTAGTTAATCTAGGCCCATTGATTTTTGGATTAGCACTAATATCATATTCAAGATCAAAATAAAGTTTTGATGGTTTTTCTAGAATTCACAGACTAAAACATTAATCCATCGATTTATATTTTTCTTACTGTCAATAATAATTTCGTATGTATGACGTTGATTAGCTGGTAATTGACTAAATTATTATTTTTATTTTTTTTTTTGACGAATATAAATAAAAATAAAAATAAAAACTTCTTACTAATATTCATGAATAAAAACATCAATATCAGCGACTTGATATCGACGTTTTCCTTCCGGTTGAGATTCAAAACTGAATAAATAAAGAATTTCTCCCTGACAAAAAAAATAAACTCTCTTTCCATAGATCAAAGAAGAAAAAAAACGATGATTTACTGAATTATTATTTTTTTGTCTTTCCGTAATGAATTCCAATGCTTCAGCTTGTGTCCAAAATGTTCTTGTTGCATGTGCCATTTTCATCAATGAAAGTCGATGATTATTCTCGAAACTTTTTTTCGTCAAACTATCATCAACATTAACTGAAAGGTGGCGTTTTCTATTTCCCAATAGACAAAAAAAAAATTTTGTTTCAAAAAAAAACAGAAACATTTTATTTCATTTTTATTCTTGCCGTGTCTGATTGTAAAATGTATTCGAGTTCATAAGCTAATCTGCAAGAATAAAATATTATCATTTATGCTCGACATTCATTTATATATATACACATGCCATTAAATGTTTTACAGCGTTGAAAAGAAGAAAGAAAGTTGACCATACACGCACACACACAACAATTTACAAGCAAAACGTCCAAAAAAAAAACAAAGCTATTACACAAAAAGAAGAAAAAAAACTCTTTTTATTTGTTTTTTTTTGAGAGAGAGACAGAACCAGCAAATAAAAAAAGACATCTATCTAGTATGATACAGGGCACTGTTTAAGTAATATTTATATATATATATATTCATATAGAGGATAATTGTAGAGAAAAACAAAATAAGATGCACGAATGAATGAAAATAAAATTATTGTTTCTATTGATAAATCAAATAATTTCGAAGAGAAGTAGGTAATGGTAAATCATTGATTAAATGTAAATTCGTTCGTCCTAATTGTTTACGTATTAGTCGACGACATGAATCCATTAATTGAAGTGGTTCAGCTATAATAATAATTTTTAATTTTATTAAAAGTTTTTAATAAGAAATTTGTTTTAATAACTTACGTTCTAATCCATTTATGTAACGCATTGTTATTTCACAATGACCCCATACTGATGAAACCATTGGATAAAGTGCACCTTTATCTTTAAGATTACTAAATGCAACACCTAAATATTGCCCATCAACAATATATGACAATGTTCCTTCTTCCATATCAAGAACAACAAGAAATTTATCTGGTACAACAAAACATTCATCAGATTTTGTTGAATATGCAATACCATTATTATTTATTGCATCAGCTGGATCAGTTATTGCAGATGATGATGTTGTTGTTGTTGATGATGATAATAAATTAGATGAACTTGCTGCCGTTAAAGGATATTGTGTTGATGCATATACACTATTAATGCCTTTATGATAAAGTTTATTTCTACCTAAATCCCATCCCCATGATTCTTGATTCATGCCAACTAATGCTTGATAACCAGGACAATGGAGTGGAGCTCTTAAGGTACCTACCCCTACAACTGCATGTGTGCCACGTTGTCTTGTATTCCTAAAATGATAATTGACTTTAAATGATATAAATTCTTTATGTTGAAATCGATAGAGAAAACAAAATCAATCAAATGCTAGCATATGCGATACGCTTAGTTTGCTACGGTTATGAATCGAATCGACCTAATGACAACATTCAACCTTGGCAATTTTTCAATGACGATTATTAATTAGCATATGAATAATAGATATGAATGTATGATCTTAGAAAGTAAATCTTTGTAGTGCTAATCAAATATTGAAAAAAAAACATATGTGGCTTAGCATAAGTGTTTGAAGTATATTTATAGGCTTATCTTTAATTTTGATTATTTAATATTGGATCTTATATAGTTTATTCTTTTTTTTCACTATATGTAATATAACGTACCATTCAATTTCCCATACATGAATACCACTTGTAAATCCTTTTTTACATCGAACTGCATCAGTACTTTGTGCAACAGGCTAGCAAAAACAAATAAAACAAAAATTTATTATAAAAAAAAGTCAAAATATTGATCTTACGTGTCGATGAAAAGTGCATGGATCATTATGTTTAACAAAAATATTCATTGAACGATCTTCATGATTCCATCCATATTCAATTTGTTTTTCACGTGAAACAGGTGGTCGATCAAGAAGTATATCAAGTCTAATAGGAAAATATTTACTTGGATCTAATGATGGATGATTTGTTATATTTGAATAATAATATAATGAATTAAAATCATTATTATTATTATTGTTATTATTATTATTATTATTTGTATTTGTTGATGAATATGGTAATGTTGTTGGATGATGTATTGGTAAAGGATTAAATGAAAGTAATGGTAATGATGATGTTGTTATATCTTGAGTTGATGGTGATGTTGTACCACCAGGTATAAATGAACGTAAATTAACTATTTTACCATTACGAAGACCCATTGATGATAATAAATGTTCTTGTTTTATTGAATGTGAACGATGATTAGTTGTTAATGGTATAGAATTATTTGTACGTTGTAAACGTGAACGTAATGGATAAGTTTTTAGAATAGGAGAAGGAAGAGAAGTTAATTGTTTAGTTTTATTATTTAAACGTCTACTTCGTCGTAATGTTATTGTATTTATTGATGGATCGTTTAAATCTACACGCTAGCCACAACAAAAAAACAAAAGAAATTATTTTTTTTTGCATGTTGATAAAATAAATTTATTATAATATAATAAAATAAATTTATTATAATATAATAAAATACCTTAGTTAATTTGTTTCGTTTTGTAAGAATTGATTTTGTTATTAATAAACGTCGTTTTGATTTCTTTTTATTATTACTGTTCGTTATTGTTGTTTTACGTTTTTTAATATTTAATTCATGTCGATTTCCAATTGATTTGGTTTTACGAGGTAATACCATTTGAAAAAGAATTAACGACGATAAAAGAATTAGTTTTTTGATTCAATAATAAGATGAATTTATTGAAACAAACGCAAAACATCGAGGTTGAACAACAGTTAGAATTAATGATTGATAAGACTAAATAAAAGATAGAAATGAAGATCTACAATCAAAAAAAAAACAAAAAGAATTCATAAGAAAAGTATTTGTGACACGATCAGTGACTTAAAAATAAATAAACAATATTATATCCGAGGAAGGAGGAAGAAGTCGATATGTACGCTATCGGACGATGATCGACATTATAGTGAAATGATTGTATAGGAGGAATAAAAAAAATTATAAATTTATTTCTTGATGAAAATTAATAAAACTCTTGAAAAAAAACGAGAATATTTAATAAGATTTGATAGAAAATTTTTTGACATAGATGTCGTTATACTATGGTAAACTATTTGCTGTACTAGGTGACATTTTTCTAAAAGTAGGACAACCTAAACACATAAGTATTGTTATCAATTATCATAGAATTTAGCTTAATCGAATGTGAGAAAGGACAATAGTTTGTTATCGATATATTTAGATTCAACTTTGTGAAATGTTGTGATGGCGTGACATATACCAGAGAAAACAAAGGTCATTAGAACATGATTAATATAAGAAAGAAAAAACAATAATAATAGAATTGATCAATTAAATAGTTCGAATCATTATTCGTTTATTAATAATTAAAGGAGAAAATTCATATAAACTATGAAGACTTTATATAACATGATAATACCTTGTGATTTTTAATGACGGTTAACAGTCTAGTATTACATATAACGTATTTCATGGATAGTAAGAGTGTGTTTTGAGACGTAAAAATATAGAAGTTCTTTTCTATTGAGATGCAGACAATAGAAATAATGTGACATTATTAAATAAATATTATGGTTATCCTATTTGTATTGTCAAGTACGATCTATGACGATACTGATAAGAAGAAAATTTCGTAATATATCTTTTATTTTGTGCAAGCTACTAATTGTTGTCAATATGTATGCCCATGATATAAAGAAAGCGTTGATTTTATTGCCAGATGTGACAGACAATGCATATTGTCTTATCATGTACAGAATCTTGTTTAACTCGAGACAACCAAGACTCTCATTCAAATTATATACTGTTCATTAATTGGTTTTTCTTCACGATATACAACATTTTTCTTTTTCAAGCCCATACTTTTTTCATATCGCTTGGGAATAACTTCCTTTCAATCAAAAAAATGTTCTTTCAGATTTCATAATATTCTATTACTATCTATTCGACTATTTTTCTTTTTCATTGTAAAAGAGCAATTTCTGTCATCAACTACAATAATTAATTGATCAAAGCTCTTGAGAATGCAAGAAAAACAATGAGAAGCATTTTACTTTTCACCTTCACTGCAGACACCTATATCGCATGATTTGTTTGGATAAGCAATTATGAACAACACTGTCTATAAGATATTAATGAGTTTAATAGAAATATTGAAAAAGAGACTTGTTACATCTTATTTAAAACCGAAAGGTTTTTTTTGTTTTCTTTCCAGTAATGTCTCATGCTAGTGAGATACATAATGAATATGTTCTACCATATAACAATACAGTAAATAACGTAAGTGTATTTTGTTCGTAGTTAATTTATTGTTTTATTAGTAGAAAAAAAACAAAAAAAAAGCTGCTTTGATAAAGTTTTTAATTAATCATAAAAACGAAATCTAGATCAATTCAAGTTTGTCAATATATGAAGCGTGAAAATGACGTTGAGTTATGAACGAAGCCTTACTCACTTTCTTGCTGCTGCTGCTGCTGTTTCTGTGATCTTAGTTTTTATGTGATGATTTTACCTCTATTCATCAAACAAATAAGTTGTCAGCTATAAGGTTTCCAAGGAAGGCATTAAATGACAAAAAGAAAAACTAGATCATTAGCTATGAAACACGATAAAATGCTTTTCAACCTGAATATCTGCGTTTTCAAATCTCTACTAAAGTATATGCAAGACGTCTAATACATTGATGCGATCTTATCGTGGATTTTCAAGTGCAAAATCATGATACTTTGACTTAGGTGTTTTTTCTTTTGTATATCTGTTTTAAAGTTAGGAGTTTAAGCAATATTATTAACTTTTTTTTCCACAGAGTCTAGAGATATCCATCGCGGCGCTGTCGCGGTAGCGATTAGCGGCGCGGCAGCGACAAGGTTTTTTGAAAAAGCATCGCGGCGCGGCGGCGGCACCTTATTTCTGTAAGACATTGCAAAAACTGCATGAATTTGCACAAAAATTGATTGTCCACAGACGTAACACTCTAAGACCCAATGAATCTCATCGATTAGTGACAAGAATTGTATTTCAATACATTCACAGCAATGAAATTCGAAACTTTTTTTCGAGTACCATCGCGGCAGCGGCAGATATCGAGCCGCGATGGACATCTCTGATAGAGTCAGTAGAACTGGTTTTGTCGAAAAAGAAAATCTTTCTTAGATAAGTTATTAACAATCCAAGTTGTCGCATCACATAGAATTGCATTTTACTTTTTCACAATAGAGAAAACATTTTTCAATGAATTTTGTTTTGGTTTTTATTCCACTGGGCTATATATATATTTTTTCTATTTCTTCTATTCGCACGTATAATGGTAGCTGATTATGGACAGGCACAATTTCATGGTTAAAATAACCTTGTGTCAGAATAGAATATATACTATTCAATTTTTCGTATCATCACGCATCGACTCTTCTTTTTTTTCATGACAATTTGAATTTATCTACTTTTTCATTGTTTAACTATGAAAATAAAAAAATGCTCAAAAACGCTTATTTCTATTTTGTATGCTATCGCACGATTTATTGAATCGCCTATTTCTATCGAACATGGTCTTTTAATAGAGAGGTTTCGAAATATTAAAGAAGGTTCCTACGAGTTCGACATACACCATATTTTATTCATTACCCTGGTGAAAGCGCTCGCCTAGCGAGTACTCATGCTAGACAATGCCGCGAGTACTCATGAGTACTCGCAATTTTGATTACTCATCAATAGTACTCGTGCTAGATTTAGAGCGTCTGAGTATGACTATCGAGTACTCGCTTGAGAAATTGAGTGTTTTCCGAGTACTCACTGTACATTTTCTGAGTACTCTTATGAGTTTTTCGTAAAATACTCATAAGCCGATATTTCGCCCAGCATTATTCTACTTTATTCGTTTTATTTCATTTATCAAAAAGTAGTGCTGCACAAAAGTATATTATGAAATTTTGAGAAATCAAAATTTTGCATTATATATTTCTTTAATTTTATTACAGAACGAGCATAAACATATTATCTTCAGAAGAAAAAAACTGTATTAAGACACGTATTAAACACATTAGATTCTTACACACAAACAAATGGTAAATAATTATCAAAATTAACATATACGATAAACATAAATAGAAATATTTATATTATTACGAAAACAATCAATATATGTCGAAAGAAAAATAAAAAGTAAATTTAGTATGTTTAGTATGACCTTCGTATCTTAAAACTACTGAGATAGAATTAATCTATCTGAAAGTCTGTTATTGAATTTTTGCTTCATTGATTTCCTTTATATATCGAAAACGTTGCTTATTAGTCTGAAATTATCTTTTATCTAAAATTTAGAAATTAAAATTCAATGAATTATCGTTTGTACATTTGCATACTCATTTAATCTGACTTCAAAAATATACGGCTAAGAATAAGAAGTCATTATTCTGTTCATTCGATATAGTCATTCATGACAGCGTTAGAAATGAGTCATCAGTTAAAAGTAGAAAATAATAAAAATGAGTCCTCAACATATTTCCTGGCGGTTTTTCATTGAATTTCACCATTTCTCTATTTAATTTTTTAAAATGTTTGTACATGTTAGTGCATTGGTATTTTGTTACACGTTCTGTCAAAAACATGAATGAGTACTACTTTAAGTACTCATGCTATCATCCGCGAGTAAATTCTAGGGAAATAACTCAGATGAGTACTCGCCCGAGTACACGAAAAGTATAATTATACATAAAAATTCTCGAGTGCTCGAACGAGTAATCTGGATACTCATGCTGGCAACTCGTACTCGCTTGATGAGTATTTTCACTAGAGTAGGGTAAGTGGTAAAAGTAATAGAGGAATAACTAATCGTCTGTTTTCGTTTTGTTTGTTGTTAAGTAACTAGTTAATTTATTATTATCTGATGTGGTGAAAATAAAGAAATGATTCAAATTGAAAGTTTTACAATATCCATTCACCCATCCATTCCAGTTTTACTTTTTTTTTGTTTGCTCTCTTCTCATTATAATAAATACTATATTCTTACCTCCGCTTTCCAGAGTGCATATTACTCTCAGATATAAATTTGAGAAACAAAAACTGTATCAATCGTATCCGGTGACATACTATCACCGCAAAGATAACGTGCTGTATTATAAATTGTAATGTGATCCAATGACCTGAAACCACAACACTTACAACATTACTTTAGCATTAAGCTGCAGTATATGGTTCGATTTATATCACGTCATGATACATCCATTGCTTTACTTATTGTAAGCTGAATGATCCATCAATACAGCAATCACAGCTCAATCAATTTTATTTTCGTCTAATACAGTAAAACCTTCCCAAAACAAGCAACTTCTTGTTTTGAGCAGTGGTTGCTTATTTCTAGTTGCATAAGTTAGTAACAGCCTCCGTGATATGAGCAACATATGTTCTATCACTCATGTGGGTGTGAGTGTGGACGGAAAAGCATTTCTACTCACATCACACCCACGCCCCTACATCGACACCCACACTTACGTCCACTCACACCTACCCACACCCTTAGAGTGACAAATATCTTCACTATGTCTATAAATAATCAGCTGAGGAACAATATTATGATTTATCATTATGTCATGCCAGTGGTTGCACAGCTCAGTGTCCGATTCGGGTCGGGTCGGGCCACGAAAAATTTATTTGACCTCGGG